CTTCACGTCCTGCTCAGGAATAGAGCGATAAACAACTCAGAGTGCAAGGAATGGTGTGGGACTCGGGAGAGGGCAAATTTTGTTGGGTTGGTCGGATGAACAAAGCAGTTTAAGAAATCAGAACAGTTTCGCTGTTTCTAGGCTAAGACTGGACTCCTTTCTCTTTCCAAAACCAAAGGTTGGCTTTGGCCAGTCTGAACTGCAAAACAAAACTCTGCCGACCGACCGGCCCTGAGCTAGCATTGGATAAAAGGAAAGTGGCGTCACACACCTCTCGCGAAAAACACACTTTTCTGTCCCAGAAGCCTCCTCTATGCACGATGTCCCCTATGAGCACCTGCAGATCTTGTCCTGATTCCTTATCTAGAGAGAGCGGCCCACAAGTTGTAGTGATGGCCACCAGCTTGGATGGCTTTAAACGGCTATTAATTCACGGAGGATAAAGTTGCCAGTGGCTAGGAGCCACAATGGTCATCTTCTGCCTCCTCTGTCGGAGGCATGATGGTTGTGAATACCAGCTGCTGGGAAGGTCCTGTTGCGCTCAGGTCCTGCTTACAGACTTCCAGCAAGCATCTGGTTGGCCTGAACAAGCTACCCTACTAGATGGGCCAAGTGCCCTGATCCACCAGGGATTTTCTCATGTTCCTTTTGGAGGTACCACTTTAGATCTTGCCCACAGCTGGGGATGGACCATGCCTCAGTGGCAGAGCACTGCTTACCTGAAGAAAGTCCCAGGTTTCAGATAGCATGTGGTGTGAAAGCCTGAAACCCTAGAAAGTAAACACTCCTGGTCTGGATGGAGCAATGATCTGACTCAGCATAAGACACCTTTGTTTGCGGCTATGACAGGTACATTCTCGGAGAGGGTAATTCACCTTGGTCGGTGGGTGGTTTGTGAGTCATGCAAACGCTATGACACATTACATTTTTTACAGTCTTTATGTTTAATTTTGTTTCTGTTTAATATTGTTACTTATTAATTCCCTATCGATTCGCACACCCCATTTATTTTCTCGGTCTTTTCCAGAACACACCTTCCCCCCCCCCAAAGACTTTTGAGTAGAGCTAGCATCTAAGGCCTAGCATGGAAGAATCTCCCAGATAAGTTCTGGGAAGAAGGTGCATCCCTAACTATCCCAGCAAGACGAAACCTGGGCAGTTTTCATTTAGGGAAACGCCCAGATAGTCACACAACAGCCCACATGTTCCTTGCAATCTGCCTAGGTCTCATTCTGTAGTTTACTTATCAGAACGATAATCCCGCTTTGACCCATTTTAAACACATTGACTTGGAAGTTCCCATTGATTACACTTGAAGGTTCTTGGAACGCAGTTCCATCGAAATCAATGGGATTTGCTTCCTAACAATTCTGTTTAGGGTTGGGTTGTTGTTTTTATGCGGCTAATCATTGTCTTCTACATTACACCAAAATACACGCACTTCTCTTTGCTTTAGCTCCGAGCACACAAATTCTCCTCTGACCTCCCTTGCCAAGCAAAGGTGTTTAGGGTCCTATACGAAATCGCAACGGATAGAAAAGATACCCCAAACAGCTGAGCATATCCTAATCGCCTTCCTATGGACATATAAGGCCCATTAGCCAAACTCCTCGCTTGTGTTTTTATATCTTTATGATTTCTGGAGTCCAGGAGCAAGGTGCATATTTTTTGCTTGTTTAAAACGCGGGTGAATGATTCCTTAACGCATTTTTTAACTGCGCATCTACACACGGAAGCTATTTTCGGGTTAAGAGGCTGCAGTCCTATAGCAACTCTTCCTGAGAGTAAGCCCCACTTACTGACAGGTAGACATGGAAAGCATACTGCACTTGAAATGGATCTTGTCGAGAGGGGAAGGAGGGGCTGTAATCCGCTTTAGGGGGGTAGCATTCCGAATTTCTTCAAACGGGATCAAAGTGCTGATCTGGTCTATATGGGAACAGACATGCCAGGCCACCGTCCATTTCCTTCCTCTCTCTCCCCAATCCCGTCCAGTTTGCTTTGCAGCGAAGGTGGAAGAAGCTTCCGCGCTGTCTCCCAGGGTGGGTCTCGCGTTCCCATCCTCGCTCGCCGCGCCTGGAGTGGCTGGTTGCCTCCTGCAACGCCTTCCATTGATTCAGAAGGGCCTCAGGGGATTTGCGTGGAGTGTGAACCCCCCAGTCGCCCCCGGGAGGTTAAGCAGAAACCGGGATATGATTAGTAAACAAATTGTGCAGAAAGGCGCTGGATTCTTATTGACTTACTTATAGGTCATCTGCTGCCGGTGCTGTGGGAAAAACTATTTACTTTACACATATACTTTATGATCTTGGGGGAATTAGAGGAAATTCAATAAGAAAACGGCTAGAATCGTTTAAAAACCCCTATTTAAAAGACTTAAGGAAATTAGAGTCTTGTCAGATTAAAACCCACTACAAATGTAAGAATATTGTCTCCATCGAAACGCAGTGGGGTCTAAGGAAAGCGGTGGAGGGGAGAGACAGAGAGGGAGCGCCTTTGTCAAATCGCAGGGATAAACCACGTCATTTAAACACCGGGATAATGAGCAGAATGTAAATTAATTTGACCTTCTTTACCAACAGACTGCTAAAACAATACGCAGACTAGTTTAGCGGTCTCGAAGCGAAATGAGGAGGGATGAGATGGAGGCAGAGAATCCAGAGGACCACCATTAGTCTGGAGGAGGGTGGTGGTGATATTGGGGATGGTTTACAGAGTCCCCTCTCAGCCAAGCTGGGTGCTTTTTATCTCCACAACTTGGAGAATGGAGGCATTAGGACCAACTGCGCCTTAGCTTGTCCAAAAGCCTTCTGAGATGAGCTAAGGCGGGTTTTAGCGATACCATATGGAAGCTTCAACCTCGCCGTGGCCCTCAGGAAAATTAAACCATGGCAAAGGAGTACTTCTACTCGGGAGTAATCAGAGCTGATAACTGCGAATATGGAGTCAAGAGAGGTAGTTATTTCGTATTAACGATGTGGGCGCGCAAGATTGTGATCTGTTGTATGTATGCAGTGCTTAGATGAATCTTGGGGCTAGGGAGAAATTTGGCAAAGTGCGTAACACTGAGGGATCCACTAGATCGGATGTGTTTTCTATCATCTTCTAACTATTTAGACTTTGGGGTTAATTCTCTCTTCCTGTGTCGGTATAACAGCCTCGTCCTCTCTCGGGAATCTCTGATCTAAATGGGCATTCTGGCCAGGCAAAGGATCCCCCAGCATGGCTAACAAAAATTATGTCTCCAACGTTTCTGTTTTCGTTCCAGCAAAGATTGTACTATATTGTCACACTTAAAAAAAACCAAACCCAAAGAATATTAGCAAATCCCGCATGCAGAGCGCGATAGGGAGCTCATATAAGGATTGAATTTGGATTGAATTGTCTTAATTAACCTAACTTTCTCTCTTGCTCTAATACAGACAGATGGATGGACATATATTCTTGTGCGTAAGAATATATCAAAGTCCTTTTATCGTCATGGCAAAAATATGACATTGCGCGTGTGGGGAAAATAATTCCGGGAGAGAGAAGGAACGGAAGTTTTCCTTATTGGGGATGCGATAGTAAAAAGCGAATTCTGAAGACATTTATTGGGAAGGGGCTCCCACGGTTTTAAATAGCGCTTACCTGGGGTTACGTTCCAAAAGAATCCACCGTGAGACTTGTGGTGGGGTTGTGTTAGTGCCTGAAATCAGAGTTTAAACAAGGATCAAATTTAACCTAGCATATCGATCGTATAGTCTATTTATATTGTTTTCACTTAATATAATTTACATTGTTTAAATTATATATATATAGGGTCATCTTCTCCAGTCCGCCCCCCCAATAGCGTTTGAAGAAATGTATGGATGACATTATATTGGCATATTAAAATAACCGGAGGATAAATTAATTTGGGGGGTTATTTTAACTGAAAATAAAGAAAATGATGGGACTGACCGCGCGATGTTATTGCACGTTTATTTCAAAGCAAGCCTTTTGGACTTCCCACGGGACTTTCCCCCAATAATTGGTTTGCAAATTAATATTTTTAGGACTGAGTTACAAAATATGAAATAGAAATATGGTTTAATGGGTTCTTTGATATTTTTTTAAAAAAATAAATAGTATTGAATTTGAATGAACATTTTGCATTCATGTATATATTTTTATTACGTTTATATTTCGCCCTTTCAAATTCTGTAGGTGGTATGTATAGACAATTGAAAAACTGGCCGTCTCTCTCGATATATCTTACTTTGGACTGGTAGTAATTCACGTTTTCCAAAATGGCAATTTTAAACGATCGTGTTTTGTGTCAGTGAACATGGCATATTTCCCGAGTACTTTTTCATTCGCGACTGCGAGCCGTTCCGACACTTGCGGTCTTAAGAGATGTGCTTTCCTCACGCTGCCAGCCGGCAAGTCTGCTTTTAAGGCTTGCCATTGGCTTAGTGGCGCATTTATTTTTTAAGATTTTCTCCTTAAAGTGCGATTTATTTTCTGAGTCGTTGAAACGAAGCTTCCGAGGCAGGAGAAAGAGTCCTCTCGATGCAGCAAAAACTGTCTCTCCCGGAGAGTTAGGTGTCGGTTTCCTAGTCATTTTATCAAAGTTATTTGTGGGGCACATCTAGCTGTCTCCTGAAGTTTTAAAAAAGTAAGAGTTGGAAAGCGTTCTGCAAATTGCAAACGCCATCAGAATAATATTGTGTTTGTGAATAATCATAATAATATTGCTTCCATCGGAGATGACTTTCCCCGTTCTTATTTTCTAACTCCCCACTTTGCTCCCTTGCAATGCAAGCCTTTGAGAGAAGACCTGACTGGAAGAGCGGTAGGCGAGGGGGGGAGACAAGAGAGCAAGACTTTTAATTTAGCCCTGCCCTAAGTTTCTGATAGGGTGGTCTTATTATAGCCTTCGCCGGGGCGTAGCGCCTCCTGATTGGCTGCGGCGCGCGTCACTCCGAGTCTCAGCGGCGAGTCTAGGACGCGGGGGAGGCAGGAGGGAGGGCAGAGAAGGGGGCCGGGTGATATCATCGCCCCGGGAAGGCCGCCTCTGGGTTTAAGTTGTTAGGCAAACAGGGAAGCTGCTGAGCTGCTCGGGGTCCGTCGCTCGCCTGGGCTGGGTAGACCGGAGCGAGGGGAGACGTGCAGCGACCGAGAGGGGCTTGCGCAGCTAGGCAAAGCTGACCGTCGAGGCTCCTGCTCTTGCAGCAGCCACCCACGCCTTGGATCTAATACAGTCGACCTGCGCCTGTCACTCTGGCCCGGCCCGCGAGTCCGTCGGCAGCCTGGTGATTTATTCATGGTCGGCGCGGTCCGCCGCGGGAATCTACGGCGGAGGGTGCCTTCGCTCTTCTTCGGAGTTTCTCCTGCTTTCGCCCACAGAGGCTCATGCGACGGGGCGGCCGCCCGTCGGGAGGAGGTGGAGGAGGAGGGCAGCGACGGCGGGGGTCAGCAGCGTCGCCTTGAGAGCCGAGCAGGGCTGCCTACTGCGGGAGAAGTGAAACTGACACAGTGAAACTGACAAGGAGGCGGCGGAGGAGCTTCTCCGACCGCGTCTCCCGCGCCGAGGGCTGCGCCTCTGTCCACACACGTAGCGCGCACATCCACACCCAGTGTGCAGCCCCCGGCAGCTCGGGCTGGCTCCCGCAGCCCGATGAACTGCCTGAAAGAGCCGCTGAGACTGGAGCGGCTGGTAGCCGGGAATAAACTGTGCTGCTCCACCTCCCCTTCCTCCGCTTCCTCCACCTCCTCCTCCGCCTCTTCCTCCTCCTCCTGCCACCACCACCACCAGCAGCAGCCGGCCCTGGTCATGGCTTCAGCCCTGACCCCCGGCCAGCCGCGCTCGGCCTTGGATTCTGCCAAGCACCGGCTGGAGGTGCACACCATCTCCGACACCTCTAGCCCCGAGGCCGCAGGTAAGGGTTCTCCGCCGGCTCCACGCTGCTTCTCTTCCTCTCGCCACACCATCTCATTATTCTGGTTATCAATACAGAGTCTTGGGGGATTAAACCGGTGTCCCAGTCCTGTGCTGGGGACGCATAGTGAGGGATTAGGAGGAGAAGGGAATGGAAATATAATTGCAGATGGCACTGCCTTTGTAGCTAGATTCTGGGAGACATTTGGTTTCTCGTTTTCTGTTGGGAAACAGCGGGTGCGCGGGGAGGTAGAAGAGTTGCACACACGCCCGGCAAATCCAGGCATTTGCCACTGAGAGATAGAAACATAGCAGGAAAGGCAGAACTGGAATGCAGTCTCCGTCGTGATTTAGCCAGACCATCTCAGTAAAAGAGCGGTGATTGACCCTGTCACTCTGAAATGTATTTAAAAACAAACAAGCGGGCTCTCTATATAACAGCACTTACTGCATCTAGTACAAATGTAGTCGAAGCTCTAGGTAGAATTTAATTCCAATAAAGGTACTGTATAGGAACCCTGTAGGATCCTTGGGGAGAAGAGAGCTCAGATTTGCCCATGGATTTCCATCTATCCATGGTGGTTTCCTTCCAGTGGGTCTTATTGAATGTAGTAGGATTGGATTCCGATGAAATATGCATAGGATCGTGGTGTCAAAGGATCCTTTGCACGCTTGCTTGGGAGTAAGTTCGACTCGAATCAATGGGAGTTACTTCTGAGTAAACGTGCATGGGCTGTTAAAGTGCTTCTTCAGGGGCGCATTTCAACCAGCCAGTCCTAGTTGAATACACTGGGACTTGCTTCTGAGTAAGCGTGTTTAGGATTGGGCTGTTTGATTGCAATCCGAAGTACACCTATCTAGGACTGTTCCCTTAAACTGAGTGGAGCCTGGAGGATTGGCTACTTCAATTTAAGTGTCTTCTGGACCGAGGATGCAATGACATATATCTTCATCCAACCCGATCCTACCCATGGTTACTCGGAAGTAAACATGTCCGGTTAAAATAAATGATATTTGCCTTAATGAAAACATGCCCCGGAATTGCAGTCCTATGTGCTACAGAGACTGCGATTATCACCATGAGCGAGAATGTAGGGGTCTTCACTGGGCTTAATAGGGGCCACCCCAACAACTTTGAGATAAACACCTTTACTTCTAAAAATATGTTCCATCTTTAAAGACACTTCACACTCTCATTAACTTCAATGGGTGGCATTAAACTAAGTTTTACTGCGAGTAGACCCACTTTAACGAATGAACATGCCTTTGTTGGGGCCATTGATTTCAATAGATCTACTCAGAGTAAAACTTGGCCGAATACCATGCAATGTAAGTGGAAGTTAGACCGACTCACCGATTTAGGACACATTATTGTAGCATAATTTATGGGTGCTCGATCCGTGAATCAGCACCAGAGTGGCCTTGTCTAGATACAGGAGAACGGTGTAGCATAGTACACCAGTATTGCTGCAATCTTTGTAGGTATTTCGGAGGAGAGCCTCAGTAAATGCAGAGCCGTGTTCGATTTTAAAGATGTGCATGTGCACACAGCTGTATTGATACAGATGCAATATACACGAAGTCTGCAGCTGCACAGCGTGTACTGTCAGTGCAAGAGGTATTTATACCTGTTACATATAACGAATGCATCTAGGTGTAACGCTCAACTGGAATTAATTTACGGCAATTCTGAATCACAGCCCAATACTTCTTGTGGTGTGAGGGGGGAAAGCTTTCCGTGACATCACGGAAGGACTTCCGTGTGCGTAAGAAGGTGGCCTTCAGATCTGCTGTATTAATCTCGTATTGGTGCACACTTTTAAAAGGAAGCACTTGGATTGAAGTCGATATACATTCTAAAACTTAACTCCTGGGATATAAGTGGCAACGTTTTTAATAGCGCTGAAGGACAGACACAGCCTGACTTTTCAGTCCGAAGCACAGTTACTTTTCAATTTATGTCCTTGGGTTTTCCTATTTATCTGGTGTGTGTGTGTGTGTGTGTGTGTGTGTGTGTGTGTTTCATTCGGATCCTAAGCGCGTTTATTTCAGCGCAAACCTCATTGCTTCCAAAGAAACTACTTCCGTAGCCTTTATTTGTATTACAGTTTTAGGAGAGCAGCTTTTGGATTGGGCTTGTTCACCCCTCGATCTTTAAATAAAATCTATGGAAGTAGATACCCTGCCTTCCGATTAGGCCGACTGGCTTCAAAACAAGTGCGCTTAGAACCTCATGTTTCTCCGCCAGTTCGCAACGACCCCCCCCCCCGCTACTTCGGCTCAACCGCCTTGGGAAGAGCGCCGACTGCGGGCCGCGGGCCGGTTCAGCGGGGCCGCGGAGCGCTTGGGCTGATCCCCTTCTCCCTCCGCCCGCCCTTTTTCTCCCCGCCCCCCGAATCCCAATCCGCGCCAGCCTGTTGACCCGCGACTGCCTTTTCCTTTGCAGAAAAAGACAAAAGCCAGCCCAGCAAGAATGAGGACGCGGGCGCCGAGGATCCGTCCAAGAAGAAGCGGCAGCGGCGGCAGCGGACGCACTTCACCAGCCAACAGCTCCAGGAGCTGGAGGCCACTTTCCAAAGGAACCGCTACCCGGACATGTCGACTCGGGAGGAGATCGCCGTCTGGACCAACCTCACCGAGGCCAGAGTCAGGGTAAGGGGAGCCCCAAGAGACCTGCTTTGTTCTGTATGTGTGAATGTTGGGGTCCTTTGGAAGATGCAGCACCGAGGCGAATGAACCTGAGTAAGCTTGGCTGGCGCAGGGAAGGCGCCGCTTTCGATTTGGCCTCCTTTTCGAGGCGGGCTTTGGCCCCGGCGCAGCGCCTCTCTGCTTCCCTCTCAGGCCGAGGCAGGCTGCCATCTTCTCCGAATATGATAGATGGCTGTGCGGCGTGTTCTGAACTGGATGTGTACTTTATGGGAAGCGCCGCCAAGAAAGCTTCCCGGGGCAGGCTCCGACGTGTGCACAGCAGCCCGAGATGCGCAACACACGAGGCCTCTGACTCCATCGAAGGCACCCAAAACTTGCCCTTCCTTGCATTCTTCCTTCTCTCTCCCCACCCCTCGCTCGCCCCAAGCACCCTCAGGTTTCACAACAACGGTGGCTTTCTCCCCACCCACGCCACCCCTTTCTTGCCAAGATTGATGGATCGATCAGAGTGCTAAAACGCAGCAGAATCGTGCGGTCCCGTCTCCGGGAAATCAAAGTGGGGGGAAACCCAGATCACAGCCCCAAGTTTGTATATATGAAAGAAAGTCCCGTGAAAAGGGAGGCAGTGCTGCTGTCCCCATACAAGCTTCGCTCTGTAGGGATAGTAAGTTGCAACTCGGTGGGCCTTTAAAACCTTTCGAGATTGGCCTATTCCCCTCCTAGCCGGCTTGCAAAGAGCTTTAGAACTGTGCTGTTGCAATTCGTGGCTAAATTACTTTAGAGTAATCCCGTTAGGATTGCTATGAGGTCAGGAGATTTGAGGATGAAAGAAAGTCCCAGCGCAATCGATGAAACTAGGAGCGGGGATGTTCAGCGTGTCGCTTACACTCTTTAAAAACAGCAACAAATAAATACAGAAAACAGAAAACAAGGCCTCCTCCTTCTCAAATGTAAACCATGTTTGTTTTGGTTAGAAGTGTGGAAGTCTTCCCAAACAAATGTTACCTGGAATAACGACATTTGTAGTCAACAAGACTTACTCCCAAGAAAGTGTGTAGGGAATCAGAGCTTTTTTAAAAAATAAAAAACGCCTGGTACCTAAGTTAGTGTAGGTCCCGTTCATATCTCTGTTTCGTATTCCCAAGTAAATGCGATTAGGACTTGGGTGTAAACAGCGCAAAAATAATAATGCTTTAATACACACACACACACACACACACACACACACACACACTACAATTTAAATTGGGGTTTTGGATTAGACCAATGCGAAATGCGAAATGTTGCATTCATTGGAGGAATCAGTTTTTGCTACAATGCTTTGGAAATAAACAAATCCCAGAGATTTTAATTAAAAAATATGGGAGTCTGTAGAGTTTGGGCTCAGCTGCTTAGTGGAAATAAACAAGGAGTAATTAAAAAAAAATCTAAAGGGACACAGAGGAATCTGGTTGTGTTGGCTGTTGACTCAATTCAGGCTGGGTGTCTATTCAATAGCCGCGCATTTAAACGAAAATGTCCAGATTTAAGCCGATGGAGCCTCCTGCCCTATCTTTAGAGTCCTCCCCTCTCGAAAACAAAAGGAGCTTAATTTTATTGAAATCTGCCGCACTTACTTCTAAGCAAGTAAGCGCACTCACGACTTTGTGACATTTTGGTTAGGCCTAATTAAGGTTTTTACCATACCGTGGCTTTGAGATTTATTGATTTTTTTGGTAATAAATCAACTAAAGCTACCTACATGGTGTGTGTGGGTGTTCTAAGTAACTGAGCGGGTTACTTAGAACAAAGCAGTTGGGTTTAGTGGGGTTTGCAATTCTCTACAAACCGTGGTTTTACTGGGGAAGAACTCGCAGTGGCCTGCTGGGGTGGCCTGCTCCCCAGTAAGGATGTCTAGGTCGGAGAGCAGTCTCTAAGGGGGAAGAGATGCAACTAGGTCAGTTTATGTGGAAATGCGATTGTAGAAAAACTGGCTCTTTTTCTATAAGAAGCTTGCGCTTTTGTGTTTGGCGGGGGGGGGCGGTGAGTGTCAGCTTGCCCTCAAGTCCCTCCTGCAAATGTGCTGGCCTGTAACGTTTTAAAAATATGACTTTGAAAACGCTGGCAGTGGAGAGCTGAACAGCTCCCCTCCCCCATTTACAGGTTTATTTTCCCCACTTCTTTGAAACCTGGAGACGGCCGTGCATGTGCTTTGGGGAATGTAGCGTGTTATGTTTGGGGGAAAGTGGTGGTATTCGCGGGCGCTGGGTATTGGGTTTTATTAGGCGTCTGCGAGCGAACGGTGCAGTCGAAAGGGAGATTTGCAACGTAAAACACGGGCTGTGTAAACAGAACGGGAAGAGCCCCGCGACGGTTCGAATCCACATAATAACTTTGCAGGCGGCCGACTGGCAAATCAGGCGGCGGGATGTGGATTGGAGCGAGACACACTCCATCGCCATTGTCTGCGCGGCGGAGGCTGTTGCCCTTTAGCACGTAGTGAAAAGGGCAACTTTGCCAAACGAGCAGAGGACAAGATGGGGCGGACGTGGCTTGGCTTTACTGGCGATTAGCACATGAAAGGGACCGGTCCCTTTAACAAGCTGTTGAGGTAAAGATTTATGACGGCTTGCCCAGTTATTTTTATTTCAAAAATATTATTATTGTTCCTACGTCTTGTTTCTAGAGAGGAGATATCGATGGATTAAAATGCATTCTGTTCCTCGGTTTGGGAAAGAGGGCTGAGGTTTTAAAAGTTGGATTCTCGGTGCAAACTCAGTGTTTTCTTTCTTTGTCGGAAATCGAGGGAGGGGGAAAACTGAAAGGTGGAGGAGGGGGAAGGAGCCCATCCCCTTTGTTCGCGATCTCCCTGAAAAACAAAATGAATGGAGTGTGAACCGAATGAAGGATTCCACCTACAAGCGAGCAAAAACCAAAGCGGCAGAAGATAGATAATATATAGGACGTTTCCTTGGCCGGGTGTCAAAGCCTGTGATGAATGACACGAGCATTTGCACTACAAGAGATATTTTGTCATATATAGGTGGAGATATTCAAAAGCAGCTTCAGCCAGGGCCCAGTTAGGCGTTTATCGTCCCTCTGAAAGGAATGAGGCCGCCACTCCAAAGAGAAACAACGGGGATCAATTGCGCAGATCCAGTGCATGCGCGATCATATATGTTCCCACAGCCACTGTAAATTGCTTTATCAGGCTGTAAAACGTGCTAAGAAAGAACGGGGGGGGGGGATGCTCTTAAGACCGGCTTATGCTTCGGTTTCTGGTGCCCCAGCCTTAACAGATTTACTCGGGAGTTAGTATCGTCGATTTAAGCGGGACCCAAGCAAGAATGTAGACCTGAGGATCCTGGGCACGTTTTCTGGGCGCAAGTCCCTCTGAGGGGCTCTGGGTTCCAGCCGTAGACCCCGATGCGATGCACGTTGACCGGAAAGTAAGTGGCACCGAGGGTCAACAGAGATTATTCCCAAGCCAATAAACTTGGACTGGCAGCCACAAGGTCGGCCCCTATACGTGTTTTCTGGAAACTGGGAAGCAATTCCCAATGACTTCCAACTAATCTCTGTAAGAGTACAGAAGAAGCCATAGGATCGTAAACGAGGCTCCAATGATTTGCAGTGGCAGCATCAGGAAGGGGGGAAACATGGGGCGGGGCAGGTTGAGACATAAGTGCATTTTGTGGGGAGCTACCTCCCCCATGTTAGATTTCTGGAAGATAAACATAGACATCTTCTGCAGGCTCCCATCCTCAACGTATTTTCTCTGCCCGAATTGTGTCTGATGGCGTTATTACTTTTCAAGGCAGCAGGCTTAGAGGCTTGTTTCAAAACCGTCCCGTTTATGGCTCACTGCGAGTTTGTACGTGGAAAGTGCTTCACGACTCCCCAGCAGTAGTGTGTGTTTGGGGGGGGGTGTTAAGAGCCAACTGTGCGTGGTGGAAGGCCCCTGTGAGAACAGGACGTTAGGCTAGGTCTCATCCAGCAGGTTCTTCTCGGGTTCTAGACTTCCCTCTACCCTTCATGCTGTACCCCAAAGTTGCTGGAGGCCCAGGGCTCCAGGAGGAGAACATTACTGGTGTCCTCCTCAAAGTTCTGGAGATGCTTGCGCGGCGCGCGGGTCTGCTTTGCCTTCCCTACAGTGACCGGCCTTTCTCCCCCCACCCCTCCCCATCCTTCTCCTTGTTTTGTTGCCCCCCTCTTCCTGTTCACCCGTCGCTCCCCTCCATTGCAGGTTTGGTTCAAGAACCGCCGGGCCAAGTGGCGGAAACGCGAGCGGAATCAGCAGGCGGAGCTGTGCAAGAACGGCTTCGGGCCGCAGTTCAACGGGCTGATGCAGCCTTACGACGACATGTACCCGGGCTATTCCTACAACAACTGGGCCGCCAAGGGCCTGACGTCGGCGTCGCTCTCCACCAAGAGCTTCCCCTTCTTCAACTCCATGAACGTCAACCCGCTCTCGTCGCAGAGCATGTTCTCGCCGCCCAACTCCATCTCGTCCATGAGCATGTCTTCCAGCATGGTGCCCTCGGCGGTCACCGGCGTGCCCGGCTCCGGCCTCAACAGCCTGAACAACTTGAACAACCTGAGCAACCCCTCCCTCAACTCGGCCGTGCCCACACCCGCCTGCCCGTACGCCCCGCCGACCCCTCCTTACGTTTACCGGGACACGTGTAACTCTAGCCTGGCGAGCCTGAGACTCAAAGCTAAGCAGCACTCCAGCTTCGGCTACGCCAGCGTCCAGAACCCGGCCTCCAATCTGAGCGCCTGCCAGTACGCCGTGGACAGGCCCGTGTGAGAGAGAGACAGGAAGGCCTGCCGCCTTTCGTCCCTTGTTTTGTTGTTGTTGTGGTTGCGTTCAGAAAACAAACAACTCCCCCCCACCCATTAAAAACAAAACAAAACCCAGAGACACAGGAACAAGCAGGCGCACAATTCTGAATGGACGAGGGAGGAGGCCTCGCTTCCGCAATCAAAAGACTTGAACGTTCGAATCCAAAGTAAATGGGCACTAATGGAACGGGAGATGGAAACAGCGGAGTGACTTCGGAATTGAGACAAAATGTAAACCAGAAGGAGAAGGGTTAGGGAGAGGCACAAGAGATACCACTGAAACTAGCGAGTCCCTTTGTTTTCAAAGGATATTCTCCTGCTACCTTTCACTGAAGAAGAAAAAAGTATTTCCAACATCTACAAGGACATATATTATAAATATATATAAAATACGGACAAACGTTTGAATCGCTATACTATGACATTTTAATGTTCCTATAAGCTTGTTATTTTTTATGTTTAGCATTGTTAACATTAAAATTAAAAAAATGACGGGAAAGGATGTATATATATATCGAAATGTCAAATTAATTTTATAAAAGCAGTTCTTAGTAAATATCCACAGTGTTTTTAAAAGTTAGGCTTTAAAATAAAGCATGTTACACAAGACATTAGGGATTTCTTTTCTTTTTCTTTTTTCCGCTTGCGAGCAAGGGAATGTATATACTAAATGCGAGACTGTATGTTTCTAACATATTATTAATTATTATTATTAAAAAAAGAAGAAGAAGAAGTCCCATTGTGTGAATATCGGTTTTAGAATAGTACCTCTGGTGGATGCAATGGCGACGCTGAAACTGCAATGTAAACATACCCTGTGTATAACATTTCGTATAATAGTGTTTTCCTTTTCTGACAACATTGGAAAAAAATGTGTTTTCTTTCATGGGAGTAAAATATACTGCATACAGTTTGGTCTGGATTTTTTTTTTAATCCGTTCAAGCGCATAGAGGGATATCCCCACATATTGTCCGGCTGCTGATCTCCAGCCTCCCTTCTGGTGCGCGCGGAGGAAACCTTCCTGCTCACCTCCCGCCTATACAACCACAAAAGTCCATTGTTACTAGCAAATACGTCTTCTACGCCTTTCATTTTTAGTCTTGTTGGTGCAGTCCTGTGTATGTCTACTCAGACGGAAGCCCAGCTGAGTTAAATGGAGCTGTGCACAGGATTGCAGCCCAAATATGTCGATGGCGGTGTAAAGGAAGGTAGGAAGGGGGTGGGGAATTCAATCTCTACAAGGCTCGTCCCCATAAGGTGATCGTTCTCCTCCCAAGGAGCTGGGTTCTGCTATTATTGCCCTAACCTAACTGATCACGAACGCGATCCACCTCTGCTCAGAGTCCTGTTGACTTAAGGACCTACGTAGGTGGCTGCCGAATACTGAGACAGACCATTGCTCTGCCTCCCTCAGCAGCGCCAGTACTGGCCGGCAACTGCTCCTCAGAGCTTCTCCTGGAGAGTTCTAAACGACGCTCTTAAATCCAAGTGAAATCACTGGGACTTAAACTTTGTTTAACTTTGCCTTATTTGTGCCGAATAATAACAACTGAATCAATAAAACGGCCAGGTTATCTTCTTATCTGTCTCTCCATTGTCTGCTCCTACCGCTCTCTCTCTCTCTCTCTCTCTCCTTTCTGAGGGTTAAAAAAAACCAAACCAACAGAAATTCTTTCCTTAAACCTGTACGGATCACCCCCACACCTCCTGCAGAAACCGAGAAACCAGAGCCTGCTGTGTCTAAAAGCGCCGCCGCGCCTCGCGTCCAGCTCCGCCAGAGGAATCCGGGAGAGGGTCGCTGGTTCTGGAGCACCTCCTTTCAGAAGGCTTGTCCTGCAATCTGTAGCCGAGGGGGAAAGGTCGCGCTCTTTGTGTTGGGCGCGTAGAGATATTGACCCATTCATTCTCAAACTGCTTGTTCGCCAAACGATACGGGATTATAGTTTTGCAAGCCTGCGGGTGGGGGGTAAGCAAATCAAGATGAATTACGGCGCGCGCCCGGAGCGGGCAGCAGCAGTAGAGAGGGAGGGGAGAGATGGTTTAAAAAGAGTGGGAAATGGTTCCTTAGGTGTGCATCTCACGAGTTAAGCTACTGGCCACCCTCTTCCCCCTCCCACTCGTTCCCCAAGTCTCTGTCTCTCTTCCTCTCCCGCCCCCCCCCCACCCCGCCCTGCTGTAACCTTACCAATAGGTAGAACACACAAATGCGCCTTTGTTTTCCCGGTTTCAAAACGTAGATACCAGATAATGCGTTTAATTTATGGTTGCCAGGAGCTGCAGATTTAACTTTTTCCCCCTTTCCGTCCCTCCCCCTTTTCTCCTTTTGGGGGGCAGAGGGCGTTACACTAGATCCCTCAAGTCTACAAAAGGCCCCCACCCCATGGAGACTGCAGAGAAGAGAGAGGGAAGGGAAGGGCGAAGAGGACTCGGAAGAGCCTGTGCACCTGAATTCACTTACAGAATCATAGAATCGTAGAGCTGGAAGGGACTCCAAGGGTCATCTAGTCTAACCCTCTGCAATGCAGGAATCTCAACTAAAGCATCCAAGGCGACTCCAAACATTTTGCCTTATTCATTCAAACAGCACCTTCTTTCCAAGCAGCTCAGGGTAGAGTTCCTGGTTCTCCCTCACCTCCATTTTATCCTCACAAAGACCCTATGAGGTAGGATAGGGTGAGAGGGAGTGCCTGGCCCGAGGTCACCCTGTGAGCTTCATGGCAGCGTGGGGACAAGATTCAAGCACTCTTTCCACTGCACCACCAGGCTGGTTGACTTGGAAGTTCAGTTCCACTGAAACCCAGCAGAAGTAGAGGGTGGTAGCCAACTAAGTTTTTCTCAGAGTAGACCCATGACTAAATTAGGCGTATTCATTTCGATGGGTTTAATCCGAGTAAGATTTAGCTGGAGACCACCCAAATTATCTGCTGTCCTCTAAACCACACTGGGATCTTAAGCAATCTGTTTTCATGTCCCCCCCCGCCAAAAAAAGGGGGGGGCGGGGAAGGGAATGGATTCGTCTCAGAGAGAGAAGCCCAAGGAGTCCCTCAAAATAAGGACTTTCCTGCAAGGCCCAAGGAACCCCTGTTCCCTCCTTTGTGAGGGCCGAAGGGCCTTTCGAACATGCCAAGGTCCTTGACCCAAGGCCAGGTTTTTCAATCGATCGTCCTTCTCCTCGGGTCAACACTTCCGACCGGAGCGTGAGAGGAGCCTGGCGGCATTTCTCCGTGTGTGTCTGTGCGTGCTTGTGCGCCTTTGTGTTTAAACGAATGGTAATTATTAAGCCAATTGTTCTCAACAACTACCAGCTTGCATTTGATAACCGACGGAGATCTCGCCCTTTCTTTAGCCAATTCATGCATTCAAAAATATTTTCGTGACCACAGACTTCGTATCTCATTTCCGGGCGGGCCGATTGACGATGAAAATCGGGTCATCTCTGGAGCTACGCACGGAACTACTCGGAAGTAAGTTCCTTTTAATTGCTTCTGCTTTGGGAGTGGGGGGGGGGAGGAGAGAAGGGGACTCTGCATACGTTTACTTCGAAGTAAGCCCCATTGAATCCCCAGGTAAGCTTGGCGAGAACCGCACCAGACTTATTTTCTGCCCCCCTCACTTTCGCCCCCCCCCCACTGTTAGGCAGAAAGGGAAAATGCCCTCGTTCTCCACAACACCTTTTACTGTGGTTATTTCCCACCAAAAAAAACGCATCACGCATCAAGCGACATCTCCCCTCTCAGGAGCCTCTGGCGCACCTCAGCTCAGCCAGAAATCGGGGGAGAAAGTACCCCTTGCCTATCCCAGAAAACCCCTGAATTAAATCCCTCCCCGAGAGGGAGTGGAATTTCTTCTCTTCCTTCTGCCCCGTCTAATAAGATAAAAGCCCGAGGGAAAGCGGGGAGGGGGCTCGTTTTTTCCTGAGAAAGGAAAAAATAATAATGAGATTATATTTGGAGTAGGCAGTAAATCACAGGGGGGCCTTGGACGTCCGGGGGTTGTGTTTCTGACGTTTCAAAGCAAAAAAACACACACAAACACACACAAAAAACACCACCACAAAAAACCCCCCACAGAATCGCGGTCCTCCTTGGAAGGTAAGACCGAGAAACGACGTGGTGTGTGTGTGTGTGTGTGTGCGTGTGCGTGTGTGTGTGTGTGTGTGTGTGACTGTGTGTGTGTGTGTGTGTGTGTGTGTGTGTGTGAGAGAGAGAGAGAGAGAGAGAGAGAGAGAGAGAGAGAATATGCAAGGCCAGAGAAGAAAGCTGGCTTAAAGAAGAAAACATCGCTTTCCCAAGTTGCAGGTCTTAAAGCCCCAAAGCCATAAATTAACCGGCTGGACTTGTGGCATCTCTCTCTCTCTCTCTCTCTTGAGGACTCTATTAGAAATGCCGGCGAGAGATTCGAGCGGCTGACCCCAAAGGCGGGTGCGAGCAAACAGGGCTGTCTGGCTAGGAATCCACATCGCAATCCACAAAAAAAGGAGCCCGACTCCTTTCCCCGCCCTTCCCGTCGAGGGGCGTCACTTTCCGCGCTGCTCCCCGCTCCGCCCCCCCCCCGCCTGGTTTCCCTGTAAAGTAGGCAGGCAGCGTTTGAAGGGAGATCTTGGCACGCCGCCCCCCCCCCCGCGTGCGTGTGTGGATGGACAGAAGTGGGCCTGTAAGAAGAGCGGATGTTTTGAAAGTTTTATGAATATAGACGGGCTATTGATTGCCTTCAGGAGCTCGGCTCGGCTGAACCCAGCACGTTTCGTCGGGGAAGGAATTAAAAGCTGGAAGGAGGAAAAAAGCCAAGAGACTTGGGTGGCTTCTTGATGTTTCTGCAGCGGCAAACGGCGAGCGGCTGCCTATTCCTCCATCTTCCCGGGCATTCGCCTGCTCCTGACGACGGAAAGAAAGAAAGATCGCCTCCTCTCCTTCTTGGATTACTGGATCAATAAACTAAGTTCATATTTTAAAGCTTGTATGTACACACACTTGGGAGGGGGTGTTACCTTCGTCGAACACAGGGGGCTTATCTCCGAGGAAACGTGCTTAGGATCGGGGCACACTTCAGGCATCCAAAAGCACGAAGAGAAACCAGTTTTGGGTCTCTCTTTGTCCCTCGCCCGTAAAACTGTTAGGATTACGTTCCTGGAAACACACTTCACAATTTAGCGGTGTTATTGTTTGCTGTTGTTTTACAGCTTCGGTTCTTCGGCATTTTAACAGTCTGCACTTAAGGGAAGGTGAAACGTCAAAGTGAGCTTGAAGAGCTAACAGATAATAAAGGGAAGAAAAACCAGAGGAACAGAGTCCGCGAATGCCAGGGAATTTATTTTACGAAGGACAAAACGTACTTGCAAGGATTAGGGTAGGGACGAGGAGAACTTTTCACTGGGTTGTTAAATGGATTAAAAATGTAAATTGTGCATTGCATTCCCACTAGCACGATATACACACACCTGGAGGTTTCACCAGGCAACAACTTTAACTATATTTTATCCAGCTCTATCTACAAGAATTCCAAATTTTGGACACGGGAAATGAAGTACGTATATAATCTCTGAATTGTTTCCAAATTGTGTTATCTCATTGACGGTCAGTGAATATCGCTGAAGAAGAATGTGCGGTTTTTGTGAGTGTTTTATTACCTTTTCACGCCAGCTTTAACAGTGCATGGCACACACAATGTCTACACACAGACATACAGGATGCATACCTGAGTATCTCTCGAAATACAATTCTTATTAGCAGAATCCTCCCACCCCAATTTGAAATATATGTCCGGAGAAATATGTGTCCAATCTTTAATCTAATTTCTATTCACAGCTGTGCAAACTGACTTTAAAGGTGCATTTAATGCAGTGATAGTTAAATATTTTAAGGGCATATGATTTGGCTTGCTAAATGCCTGGTTTGATACGCAGACTAGACAGATGTAACTCTCAGTAGTCGCCCCCGGTAGGCCGGGACAGTTAATCTTCCACGAACCAGGAAAGATTTACTCTTTTCAAGATCCGTACGAAGACTCGGCTAATTAGATTGCTGCTGAACCTCCTCACCCTCCCACAGGGTGAGCAAGAACACTTACCGAACACACACGCACCATTCCTGTCCCAATCAGTGAGTCTCAAAACACACACAGAGAGAGAGAGAGGGAGGGAGAGAGATTTAAAGCGAACTGAGACTCCTTAAAGTGAAAAGACACATCGGAGCCTTCTGTCCCAAGCCAGTGTACTAAGTCGCGTTGAACTCGGCTGGTCTTGTTACTAAGTAAACAGGCGCACGATCGGATTGTCCTACGCTTTTGTCTACAATGCATTTCACACGCCGACCACTGTGTGGGATCCACCGAACAACCCCACTTCAGCCGATGGAGGTGGACTGGTGGTTTAGCTCTGAGAGGCTTCAAGCGGATGACTTGAATCGATCGATTATGAATCGGCAATGCCCAATCATTGCAAACACTCACCTCCCCAGTCCGCAAATTAAGTGCAGCAGATTTTAAATCGTAGGTTGACAATCACTGCCCAATGCCAATAAGTATGTCCTTTTCCTACAAAAATTGCAAACATCTAGCCTCACCCCTCTCCCAATTTAATCCAAGTAGAGCTGTACCCCACCCACCACATCTTCTTTCAATGAAATTTATTTCCAGGTTTACTGGAGATAAGTCCCGCTGACCACTCACGTCAAGGCGTAGCCGGTAGGTAATAAAGGAGATACCAGAGAGGAAGCTACTTAGGCTAGCTGCCTTGCAGCCCAATCCTATGCTCGTTTACCTGCAGGTAAGTACCACTGATAAGACAATTTAGTATCAAATCAGCGAACAAAGGGGGGGGGGGTCAGCCGCCCAGCCCTCCAAGCATGAGTGCTTACTCAGAAGTAATAATGATTTCTGTCAACTTCCTCCCAGATTCATGGGACTGCAACTTTTAACAGTCTGATGTAAGCCCCCTTAGAACTCATGGCACTTTCTTTCAAGTTAAAGAAAGGTTAAGAATGAGGTACCACCCATGGGATCTAGGGCGGCCCCTCGCTATCTGTGCTTTTCCATGTCAGTCTATTCTGAAACATACCATTAATGCAGGAATAGTATAGTAATGGAGGATCTTGACTAGATTGTCCACGCTCCATCCCATTGATGTCTTTGTTCTGCTATGCTTTCCCTATGTTACCGGATTATTCCCCTCTTGCGCTACAATACAGCAAAAGTGGAACAAAACCAAGGAACATATGTGGTATGAAAAATTGCAGGATTTCATTTAGAAGTTGTGGATATGCAACAACTGGAAACTCACCATCATGAGCACAAATTATCATGACTGGGCAATAAAAAGGACATCTGGAGTGAAATCGAATTGAGTTAAATCCAAATATTTGACTGCCACTGTGAATGGAACTGTAAGGCTGTGGGACTGAGGTAGCCAGGTGCAAAAATGGACAGGGCTCCTGCACCTGATGTAGTGATAGAGAAGAGAAACTACCAGCTCGCAAGAAAACACAGAAAGAGGTAGGAGCCCTTTCCTCTTTTGCATATGCCCTACCTATGTGACATTTTGGTCCCATGGAAATAAAGGAGCTTATGTACAGTACATGTATCTGAAAGGCCCTAGGCAGAAGGTAGATTGGAATCTACTGGTAGTCTGTGATTTGAAGTAGAACAGCAAGGAGCAGCAGCAACAAATCACCTCTCTCCACCAAATCAGGTGGCTGAGATGAAAAAGGTTGGGGTGAGGAGGACCAGGAGTGGATTTTTGAGTGACAGACTGGGAGCTCTCAGTTTTGGAAACTGATTCTGAGCACTGAGTTCCTTATTCTAAGATTATGTTGGCCACTCTCCTAAGCTACTGTTTTGTACCAGTGTGTATGGCTTAAGAGTTAGTGAATCTCTGGTGGGTGTGTGGGCGTTTAAAGTAGTTTCCACAAGCCTGAAGTCTGCCTGGCCCTGATCCCCATCAGAAAATCTACTGTGACAACTGAAACAGAAAAACTTGATGCCTACTCCTTCCCCTCTTTCTCCTTGCTATTGTTCTTCCCAGTTGCTTTGCCTTGCCAGGAGGAGACCTTTGCCCTACATGGTGTAAAGAACATTGTCCTGTGGCCCCTTGATCACTTAGGCCCTCTGATGTGTACAAACAAGAAGATGTTTCTTCCTGGGTTCAATTGTACAAATGATGAGCATATCTCTGAGTAACCAGTAGATAGAGTCTCCTTTGGCTAACCTGAAGCCAAAGGGCAGAACAATGGCCCAGTAAACAAATCAGTGATCTTGTTTATTGAAATAGGGTTTTGTAGAGTAGGTAGTGAGCTGAAGGGTGAAATGTTGAGTTTGGAGGAAGTAGGGATATTCAGGAACAATTCTGGATGGAATAGGAAACACCATTTCTTGGGACATGGGTGACACTGTGGGTTAAACCATAGAGCCTCGGGCTTGCCAATCAGAAGGTTGGCAGTTCGAATCCCCGTGATGGGTTGAGCTCCCGTTGCTCAGTCCCAGCTCCTGCCAACCTAGCTGTTCAAATCCACAAAGTGCAAGTAGATAAATAGGTACCGCTCCGGGAAGGCAAACGGCGTTTCCGTGCGCTGCTCTGGTTCACCAGAAGCAGCTTAGTCATGCTGGCCACATGACCCGGAAGCTGTACGCTGGCTCCCTCGGTCAGTAAAGTGAGATGAGCGCCGCAACCTTAGAGTCGTCCGCGACTAGACCTAATAGTCAGGGGTCCCTTTACCTTTAAGCCATTTCTCAGGACCAATTTTCTCTTCCCACTTGACTTCACAACAGGAGTGAGACTGCTGCAAATCCAATGGCTAATGCTGAGTCTGAGTCTTACTCTGGGTAAGCAAGTATAGACTACAGCTTTAAACATGCTTAGAAGCATAGCATTTGGGTAGCCAACACAGTGTCTTTTAGATGCTGTTAGAATCCAACTCCTATCAACCCCAGTCAGCATAGCCAGTGGTCAAAGATGATGGGAAGTGGAGTCCAATAACATATAGAGGGCACCATGTTGACTATCCTGCTATAACTAATAGCAAGCACTCTACCTCTCCTTTACCTTTTTACCTGAGGTCTTCTTGCAACCTCCCTCCATAAATTTCTCCCAAATCCCTCCCGCAGCCATGCTTCCTTGCCCTCTTTTCACCCATGGGTGTCTGTCCCTGAGACTTCAGTCATAAGAACAGAAGAAGAACCCTGCTAGATCAGGCCAAAGGCTCGTCTAGTCCAGCATCCTGTCCTCACAGTGGCCAACCAGATGCCTATGGGAAACCATCAAGCAGAACCATGAGCACAGCAGTGCTCCCCTCTTGTGATTCCCAGCTCCTTAACTCGTATGTCAAGAGTATCCTCTTCTTTTCCACTAATACATCTGTGTCTGTTTTCTGCTCTAAGTTCTCAGGAGCAATCCCTTGAAGAAAGACTTTCCTAAACAACTTCTGTATCACATCTCTGCAGACCACAAACTTATACATACTAGGTTTATGCCACATTGAGGAAGAACCTTGAATACTATGGTTTGATGAAAGTTTGGAGACTTCTCTGTTCCCTTACCATCCCCCCTTATAGAGCTATAGTTTCCATTATTACTTCTGGGCAGTGTTATGTCTATAGGCCCTAATTTCCTCTGCCCCACACTCCATTCACCTACTCCTGAGCACTCTTCAGTCTCTTATCTTAAACCTCAGAGCAAGGACCATGGCATTTCTGCTGTCTACAGCAACCACCTAGCACCCAGATGGTGCAATCCTACTACCCCTTGCCTGGGAGTAAGTTCTACTGAATTCAATGGGACTTCCTTCTGCATAGAAATGTAAAAGATTGCATTGTTGCTGATGAGTTTGGGGTATACTATATGGCAGGGGCATGGAATCCACTGGCTGCATTGCCTCATTCTTGGGAGGAGGTACCTGCCAGCAGTGGGTGGGACCAGAGGCAAAGTGGGTGGGGCAACAGATGTGCCTTTGTACAATAGACTGCATTCCAGCCATGCAAAAGTGTCTCTCTCTCTCTCTCTCTCTCTCTCTCTCTCTCTCTGTGTGTGTGTGTGTGTGTGTGTGTTTTACAAACACCTCTCTCCATCCAAGTAAACAAGAGGCTTTATCACAGTTCAAGGACACATTCCAGCCAGGCCAAAACACTCAAGGAGCCTTGGAGCAGGTCTGTCTCTGCTGCTGATGAGGTGCAGCAGGGAAAAACAAGGGTGACTAGAACAGCGGGTGTGGCCTGAGAAATCTCCAGAGGGCTGGCTAGAGAGGCTTGGAGGCTTATACATATTTAGCCAGAAGCCTGAGGTTGTCTGCCGGGGCTGCACTGGATTTGGGTCCCTGTCAGACTCTGATAGTCCTGAGACTGGAGGGCTTTTACCAGGAAATCCCGTTGCTATATGGTGTGCTTTCCTATGCCCTGCATTACATATCTACTCTGAAGCAGGCCCTACTGCGCGTGCATAGGAATACAGCTCAAGTCCCCCCAAATGTGAGGTCTACACTTGGTTCTCTTGTCCAGTACAATTTAGGGGAAAGCCTTTGAAGAGAGAAAGAGACCCCGAGCGAGAGCTTGTTGCCTAAGCTGAAAGGAAGGGGGTGCCTAACATTTGAAGCCTGTCTTGTGCAGAATTACCC